AAAAAATTTGCTCAAGATTTTACATTCAGCTTTAAAAAAGCTAAAGCAAATACTCTTAGTCAGGACTTCTGAGACAAATAGTTTCAGAATAGATTCAGAAAGTCGAATTTCCAAGTTCCTATTTGGAAAAGTGCAATACAGGAATTCTACAGTTTTAATGATAAACATTCACTTGTAAACCAATAAAATGCAAACTTTTGAAGAAAAAGATGTTTAAACACAGGTAATGAGCTTTTTTTGTTTATAATCATAGGGTATACCCACTGGATCAGTGTGAAGACACATTTTCTTCTAAACCATATCTGCGGTTTACTGCGGCATCTGAAAATCTGGCATATCCATGACACAAGAAGATTCTATGCTATGTTGATCTCATATTTAATGTCTTTTTTATTTTAATGCTGTAGATTTATGTAGCAAATAAGAATAGTTAAAACTACCAAATATATTTGTGACAAAAAGATTTTCAGTTTCCTTCAGAGTAATTAAATCAGCAGGTTTTTTTAATAACTAAAGAATATGTAAACTTATGGTACAGTATTTTCCATTAGTTGGCATGAGATTCAAAGAGTCATAATTATGTATTTCATTGAGTGTCTAACTTAGAAATAATCACCATTTTAAAATGAAACAGTTACAATTAAAAGTGTATTGATAAACAATTACATATAATTATTATGGGATATCCTTCATGCACTGTATGACGTTCTCTGTTTCTTTCACGATTTCTTTTTTTTAATATATATGACAGTGTATTTACATTAAATTATTTTATCAAAATAAACAAAATATGGTACCATATATTTGGTACCAAAATATTTGTACCAATTCTGGGAGCCTTTTGTATTTATATGGTTATTAAACAAAACAAACTACTTTTATGATTCTTTTCACACAAAATGGTACTCCACCAATGATCAATAAAAAAATATAATGTTTTTCTGCACTTATACACTATGGGAGTATTGAAAAACTCAAATTTTCTTAAGATGTGCCTTTAGCCCCTGTTGTACCTGCAAAACAAAGAACAGCACTGCCATGTTTCTTTAAACACCATCATCTAGGCCTTGAGCAATGTGATATAGACTGAGAAATTAAGTAGGAATACCCTGCTACATCCGACTTTGTATGGAACGCAGCAATAATATGATGAATGCAAGCAAGCATCAAAATTGTGTATTTCCAGCTATGAAGCACGAAGATCATACACTAGCACTTAGGGCTGGACAATTAATCGAATTTCTAATCGCAATTACAATTATGGATGCAACAATTATGTAATTGTTCAAAGCGGGAATTAATCGTTCAAAGTCCACTTATGTTATTCTGCACGCTTAAGATATGTTTATTCCTTTCTACATGATATCTTAAGGGTTTTTCCATTGTTTTAGTTTTAGTATAACATTATGATGCCATTCATATTTTTACTTTTTTTATAATTTAAAGAAGAAACCAATCCGATGTATATTTGACATTTGAGGCTTAATACTATAGAAAAGCACTAAAAGTTTTTCAGTTAGAGTGTTTTCAGCTTGTTTATTTTCATATAAAAATACGGCATGCAGTTGCATCAAACAATGGTATAAACATCATTCAATGTAAATTGTGATAATCGTAATTAATAATTGCAATTACAATTTCAAGGGAATAATAGACAATTATGATTTTTGTCATAATCGTGCAGCCCTACTAGCACTCATAAACCAGTCTGAAATCCCTATCTGTTCAGATAATCTTCGTCCAAACATCAATCAAGATGAGCTGTGACAATGGGCGAGTCTCAAAGTGAAGGACATGAGAAGCGTGTTTGTTTGCTTTGAGGAGAGAACTGCGAGGAACCACTAGAGCCGGGAGGCGAGGGCTTTATCTAGCCAAACTACTAAAGCTTTAATCCACTACAGAGCTACACACATGTATCTGTGCATTTTTTCTTTTTTAACAGTAAATAGTATCAAAATGTTCCTTTCAATATGCAATTCGACATGAATCAAGGGTAAAAACAGATGAAATGGTAAAGAAAACTAGCAGAGCAGTTACACAGGGACTAGAAACTACAAACCACAAATGTAAGTCAAGAGGAATTTTAAAATATATTGAAAGTAGTGTGTAAGAAAGATCACTGCAGGGAAATGCAGCATATTTTATGTTACTCACTGTAGTCCAAGCCTGGAAAATGCAGAGAGAAGATGAGAATGAATGAAACATGAGAGGAAACATGCATGTAGACAGAGGGATATGATGACAATTTAACACAGGCAGGCCCTGTTCACATTTGGCATTAGCATGCATTTTCAGTGACTGAATCAAAAACAGAAACTTGACCACAAAAAAACGCCAAATGTAAATGCACACAAAACCATGTTCCACAAAGGTGTAAATGCAAATGTGTTTTTATTAATCACATACAGTACAACTAAGTAAGTAATATATACTGTAAGTGGCGGTTTCTGTGGATAAGTGCAATAGTATCTCTATTCAAATCGCAATGGAAAAGCACCCAAATTAATGCAATCCAGCTAAATAACACTCGGATACTCTCTGGATATGAAATGCATGTTAATATCAGATGTAAAGAGGTCTAAGAGACACATGTAAAAGGTAAACAGAGAGAAAATGTAACCACTTATCCTTTTAATCATTCATTACACGTGAACGAAATGTGCAATATGATATATGCAGCAAACTGCATAAATAGACTAGTATTTCAGTATGAGAATGTAAAGAAATGTATGAGAATGTAAAGAAAAGATCATATTTTACCCCAAAATCAACAGAAAAATGAGATGAAGAAAATATTTTTGGGCCATTAGGATTGTTTATGCATTGCCATTATTTGCACTACAATTCCTTATTACTATAATGTGTCTAAAACCATTAAAAAAAAACACACATTTTCATTACTTGAAATAACTGAAATAAAATAAAATGTATATGTAAAATGTAAAAATTAAAAAGCCAAAGCAACAGTTCTCATTTTCATTTAGCTTAACTTCCCCCCCCCAAAAAAAAAACATATTAATGAAAACTATTTTTGACACATTAAAAAAAAATACAAAACAAAAGCAACAAAATTACCCAAAATGTTTAAATTAAAATACAGAATTAAAACTATATATTTTTTAAATAAAATTGGAATTATTTAAATTAGAATTACAGAATTAAACTATATGTGACCCTGGACCACAAATCTTTTTGCTGAATAAAGTAGCTTTCCATTGATGTATGGTTTGTTAGAATAGGACAATATTTGGCTGAGATATAACTATTTGAAAATCTGAAATCTGAGGGTGAAAAAAAAAGAAATCAAAATATTGAGAAAATAGCCTTTAAAGTTGTCCAAATAAAGTCCTTAACGGTGCATTTTACTAAACAAAAATTAAGTTTTGATATATTTACGGTAGAAACTTACAAAACATCTTCATGGAACATGATCTTTTTCTTAATATCCTAATGATTTTTGGCATAAAAGAAAAATCAATCATTTTGACCCATATATTGCTACATACTACACCCATGGCTATTGCTACAAATATACCCATTCTACTTATGACTGGCTTTGTGGTCCAGGGTCACATATATTATCAAATTATTAAATTAAATTAAATTAGAATTACATAATTAAAACTATATATTTAAATTAAACTATATATTACATCAATTTTTTATTCAATTAAATTAATAATTTATTACTTTTGTTTTTTGGGTGAAATTTCCGGTAAAAATAAACATAAATAAATACATACATCAACAATCAATCTGAGGGTCACAGAGAGACTCCTTAATCATTGTTTACAAGGTTGCTGACAGACCACAGTTTTTATTAATATCCAACAAAAAAAACAAAATGTTTGCCCAAAACCCGAGCAAACAAATTCTACCCTAATGTTCCTTTCTGTTAATGGTATTAGACTGCTATTCAGAAACATGGTCCAGCAAACTCAGCATCTATTCTAATGGATTAAATTCAAAACTGCGTCTTTTTCGCTGTCTATTTGTGTTAGCAGCTGCATTTGTTTTGATTGCATTAAATCAAAAGCACTTTAAAAGGCTTTACCTGAGGGATGCAGATGCTGTGCTGCGGCTATAATCTTTTAATCTATTAACATTTCATTCCACTCACAACAGCCTTTAGCTTGGCAATGGACTCCTGCTGCACCAAACCCACGCATCCAGTGAGCACATCTCTATGGATGGACTCAGTATTAAAGCCAAAAACGCAGCTAATTTACTAAAGAAACAATTACCTTCGGGATGTCAAAAAGGAACAGTTTCTCCCTTTAGAGAATGTCAAGGAAAAACTAATTTCTTTTTCAAATGAAGAACCAGGTCAGGGCATTAAAGTGGTAGTTCACCTAAAAATGAATATTCTGTTATTCTATTATTTACACTCATATGGCATTCCAAACATGAACGACTTTCTTTTTCCTCCATGTGACATGAAATTAGATATTTAGCAGAATGCTCATGCTATGCTGCTTTCGTCCATACAAATGATAGCGGGTGGCAAAAATCATACACTTTGCCGCAATTTCGCTTTGTTGTATCTCATTCACACATATTTAGAATGAGTTCGATGTCTATGACCTTTAACGTCATTGGTTCTTTTATGTCTTGTATATTTATGACTCAGTGTAATGCAACAAATTTGACTATGCAATGACTTAAATTTGACTACTTTTACTACACTAAAACAAATGGGAAAAGAAATGCATATTTAATTGAAAGTACATTTTTAAAGTAGAGAGACTGAAATAGACTTTTCTTATAAAACATATATATTTTACAATGTAATATGGACTACTTTTATGGTGCTGTTTTGGTCCATAATATTTTTGTGGAGTCCCAAGAAAGTAAGTCATACAGGTTTTGAACGACGACAGAATTTTCAGTTTTGGGTTAACTATTCTTGATTTTCCTACAGATATACACAAATCTTGCTAATCATCTCTCTGCTGTCTGTGCTGAAGGTTAAGTGGTATTATTTAGGACAGGTAACTTACATGCCGCCGTCTCCCAGCTCCTCGTAGAGATTGGTCGGAGCGCCACCTCCTGTCGATTTTCCAGCAGGAAGAGCCATCTGGATACGGGCGGTTTTGGCACACTCGGCCTGCCTCCTGTAAAGCACCCCCAAAGAGAGAGTTTCCTTCATTTCAAAAGGCTCATTTCAGCTCTATTATAGGAGGATATGAGGTCTGGAGCTCCGGCAACTCTCATTTGATCTGTTCCAGCACTTTTTATTCATGCAATGCAAAATATCATGGGTTATTCAGCACCTTTCACACTGAGATGAGGTGTTTTATTAGGAGGGAGCTGAACCCGGCTCACTTTCTACTCTATGAGGTCATGAAACCAGTAATTTCTGTTCATTTTCAAAGGCATCGCTATTGTGCTGGAATCAGAGAGGGCTGGAGTGAGTATGTCCTTTGCGGCTCATCTCAATTCAAGTTTTCTACTCGTATGTTTCTGTTATAAAGGATTGAATCGAATAACGAGGTTACGAAGGCACACAGTCTCCGGCAAATAATTCATCAAAAAGAAGAATTTGAACTTACTCTTTGAATCTGAGCGCAGGGTCCACATGCAGTGACAGGAAGTGCAGGGAAAGAGGAAGAAGAAAGGAAAATTATTAGATAATTAGGCACAGCGATAATTCAACGAAACGCAAGCAATGTAATATCATATAATATACCCACAAACCAACAGAGGACAAATGGTTTAGAAAATGGATAGTATAATAAGGATAATATATAATGGATATAACAGATAACATTGAATACTAAATATCAAAATATAATAATATAATTATATAAATATATAATTTAAAATTAATTATACTCTCTGACCTGTATGTAAATGCCTTAAAAAGGGATTTTCTAACCACTCTTTTTCCAGAAAATATTTCTATGGCATGTACATGAATTGCCATACGTAATTGTCAATAACTTGGCTAATCAGCTCATTGTGTAATAGATCATGATCTTAATTCATATTTTTATTTTTATTTTTTTAAACTCTAATTTCACAGGTCAGAAAATGCTCATAGTGTTGAACCATGCAGCCCATTTTGGTTGCTGCATGTGTGAGTGCATAATTCATGCTGTAAAATGTGGTAAGAGCACAGGATAACCCCGGTTTATCCCACATCTCCAGAGCTGGGAAACAATACAACTCTCAGCAGCACCCCCTCTCTGTCTCTCCAGCTCTCTATTCTCCTTCCCATCTTTGTATTTCATACACACACTCTCTCCTCCTGACCCTGGGCTTCCTGGAGGCTATCAAAGACGCGCTCCTCTCAATATTATTTATTTAACCAGAATGCAATTACTCGAAACACAGCGTGAGATCTCGTAATGTGATATATAAGCTCACACTTGTGTCTCCTTTTATGCATCTTTTGTAAACAACCAAATGAAACGACATAAAATTGTCACTTCACCTTTAATACAAGAGTCTAATCACAAACTGAACTCTTTAATATCCGTCAAAACATCTGAATGCAGTCATGCATGCGTGTGTG